GATGAATATATACTTTTAGTGTATCCAATTTCCCAATAAAATTCCATGTTTATCAATGTTAATGTTTATGAATGGCAGCTGCATTGTAATTTTTTGTATGCAATAATCGTTATCATCAAAAACATGAGACATAGGTCTCATGTCTGAAGCAAGCAAGGTACTTCTCCCTGGTTAGTTAAGCCTATTTCAAACCGATTAAATGCTATGGTATCCAAGAGACGTTCGCAGTTTTTACAATTTTGTTTTCTCATTTTCCATATATTCAAACATTTATACGAAAAATATTTAACGCTAGAGCTCACTCTGTCGCTGATACTTGCAACAAACTATGATTATTGAACGATTCTGAGCTTTTTAATCAGTACCGTTTTTATTACAAAATCTACAACAAATTGAGTTGCAATTCGCAACAAATTTTGTCGATTCAAGCCAAATGGTACAAGAATTTGCTGACAGTTTCAAAATTAAAAATGAAACTACTTGAAAACATCGATTCAAATCGAAACTTGGTTTTATTTTTTGATACTTAGTGTTTGGTTCTAATAACATACTTTTAGTCGTAAGTAAATGCTACTGTTGGAACAATTATTTGTGAAAAAACTGTTAAAATGAGGTTTTTTCACGAACAGTTTTAAATGTCAATATGTTGAGTTTAATGCTTTCCAATAAACCAAACAGAAACAGAAATAATAATTGGTTAGCTGATTGGTTTCCAAGCAAAGATTCATCAATTTCATCAATTGTTTTGTGTTCACCTCTTCTTTGTCTCAGTGAATTTGCTTTTGTACGTCGATGTCATTTGAAACTCTTCGGAGTTTTCTTATCATCTTTTTGCCCCCTTTTAACAGCCTTTTGAAATTTAGTTGAAACTCCGTTTCGTGTCAGTACTATTTCCTTGTTGGCTTTTTACAATCATCGCCTCTAAAGTTTTGTCCGTGTCTGCAATAAACTTAATTGGGATGTACTTTTGTTGCCCAGGTCACGAATTGTTAGTACAAAAAAAGCCCATTTTCACAATGAGCTAATCATTTCTCATCTTCTTAACAGGAAGGCGCTAATTTATGTCATCTGTAGTACATTTATTGCATTCAGTTGATCTTTTTTTCCTACGAGCGAGGCCATATACAATTTATGCTTTTTATTAAACCTAATGTGCTAAGTTATGACCAAACGCTAATAGTTATAAAAACCTACTCAGTGTCAAATAGTATATACACAGCTTTGAATAAAACATATCAAGTATAAGGCTTTTGCAAAAACTGAAAAGGCTGGAATTAGGTGATTTTGGGAGTCTAATTGAATGTAAAAAGATAGAAAGCATTTTTGCTAATATTAGGAGTAATGAACGTTGTGAAGACCCTTATAAAAGTCTTGCTGATTTTTTTGTTTGTTTTTTTTTCAGGAAAAAATCCTAAAAATTTTTCACGCTGAGTTTTGATTTTTTTTGCGGCTTGAGTTGTAGTATGAATTGTGAAGGCTACAAAAAACGTGATCGAGTTCTAATTTTGAAAATGAAAATTAATTATCAGATTTCCCAGCGATATAAAAGTTTTACCTATTGATCCAGTTTTCTCAATTTGGGTTGAATGTAACAAAAAAAGTGTCCATCGTAAATTATTCTACAAACTTAAAGAGTTTTAGGACCATCTAATTTTATTTCGATATTCAAAAGCTGGTTTTTTGGTTTCCTTGCATTCATTACTCTTCTCCAACTGTCAGTAGGCTATGTTTTAATGTTTCTCACGAATAGCAAGTTTTTACTTCCTTCATTCAAAGAAAAAGTAGTCGTGTTATTTGAAAAATTTCCTTCAGATAATAATAACTAGCACTTCCATACCTGCAGAACTTGTTTTGTTTCAATATTTAACAAGGAGAATTGTTGTAAGTGATGAAGAGGGTAGGTTGCAGACCCAAAAGAAGTTTTTGACTCTTTGAAAACAATCAATCAAACATTCATAAAAAATAACTGAAATCGTTTGCCCCTAATGTTTGTAAATTGTGGTCTATATTAGATCTGTCTGTTTCAATTTCAAGTGCAAAACAAAATCACTCCAAGAAAAAAAATGTGAGGCGTTTTTTTATCTCAGAAAAATTCGAGAACCACCCTGCCTGAATTTAAAGCTAGAAGTCACAGCAAAAGTTTTTCAATTTCTTCTCTGAAAATTTTTATAAGAAACAATCACATGTAGTTTATACTGCATCGCGAGCCAAGATGCGTCAGGTAGGAACAAACCGACCCTACATCAATGACTATACATCGCTTGCGAATAGCCCCAAAAAATGGTGGGAATTTTGGCCTCGGGAGAATTTTTAAACTTAATTTTGTCGCAAGCTACAATCATTCACAAGCTGAGTTTGGTTCTACTAATCATAATGAGACATTGAAATTTTTCTGTTTTCAGCCATATAACTGAAAAAATTATACAATCAATTTTTTTTTCTCGCTACTACTTTTTTTCCTGCAGATCATTATTGAAGTCGTCAGATACTACATGTTTAGTAGAATAAGCAATTTTTAGAGATTCTAGATAATAATCAAAGTCATTTCAAAAAAGATTCGATATTATAGTGAAGGGTTCTGTATTTTTATGAGTTTCGCTAATAAAAACATCATTACCCTGTTCTACATATAAAATTTGCATCAAACATTGATAACTATATCTTTTTTATGTATCTAATTTGCAAAGAGCATGTCATGTTTCATCCATGTTAATTTAGATGTATATCAGCTGCACTCAATTTTTTTTTACATGTACTAATTGTTATCATCAAAATTATGAGACATTTGTCTCACGTTTGGAGCAAGTAATCTATTCCTCTTTGTTGAGGTATTTTTGGTCTCAGCGAACTAAACAAAAATTGTTTCTCGAGGTTTTATTGCTAATTAAACCCTTCTTCAAACAGAATTATAGCCAAGATATCCAGGACTTTCCAAGTTTGAGTCTTTCCAAGTTTCCATCTATTCATCTTTTTAACAGAAAAATCTTTCAGCGCTAGAGCTCAGTATGGAGCTGATAATTGCAAAAAATTTTGATTTTCAAAGAACATTGAGTTTCCTAATCAGTTCTTTTCCTTAGGAGATCTACAAAAATTTCAGCTGAAAATCTAAACAATTTTGGCAATTCAAAAATGCAAAATTGCAAAGTTGCAAGTGTCCACTGTTGCAAGTACAGAGAAACACATTTTCACTCTGATAAAATTACTTCTCGCTTCTCAGTCCTCTTTTTCAACGTTTCCATAACACGAAGGGGCTCATATATATCATCTGTATTACATTTACTATCTTTGCTTGATCTTTCACTTTTTTGAAGCCTAGTACACTTGATACTTTTCATCAAATTTAATGAACTTAAGAATGAAGAAACACCAAAGGCGTTAGAAAGTATATTAGTCCCAGTGTGTATAGTTACAGCTGCGAAAAAAAACTGCGCAATAATTAGGTATTTGCAAAACCTTTGAAAAAAGTAATTTTTTTAACATATTTTTTCTGTATTACGTTCATTAGAAATTTAAAAAGCATAAAAAATTACTCCAAGAGATAAATATGAGGCAGGGGTGGATTTAGGGGGGGGGGGCGGCAATATATACTTGCTTTAACGGAGCCAAAATATACTTATTTTAAGGGGGGAACGCGCGCACGAAAAAATGCCATTTTTTGGTAAAAATTTTCCAAATAGTGCCTAAAAACGCCTTTTTGGCCTGTTTTTTTTCAAAATATTGCCTGCGGCACAGACAATTTGGCCAAAACAGGCACTATTTAGAGCTTTGGGAGAGCTCGGAAAACCAATTTGGTCGACCTAAAAAAAAGTCGACAAAATTTCGAACAATTTTTGAAAATCCGGGCCCCCCCTCGAAAAAATTCTAAATCCACCCCAGATATGAGGCACTTTTAATCTCGATCCACCGTGCCTAGATCCACCACAGATCCACCTAGATCCACCATGCCTGACTTTATTGCAATAAATCAAAGCAAAAAATTTTCAATTTTTTTCTTTTAAATTTCTGAAAGAAACAATCTTATGTATTTTTTATTAAATCGATTCAAAAATCCTATATTGCAAAGTTTGAAATCAAACGACTTAAGTTAGAGAACTTCATGTATACAAAATACTACATCACTTGACAAAAATATTTCGCCATTTATCAGAAATTCTTCACATAAACTGTTACATATATAAAAGTCATGACAATTTTTTTGTTTAATGAGCTAGAAAAGAGACTAAAACTAGGAACACACGCAGCAGCTTGGTTAAACAACGATTTGACTTACGGTTTGATACTTAATTATTTACTTGATATAAATGAACAGAGGACTTTTTAAAATTTTAGAAAAAACTACACTTGAGATCTCAAAAGATAATTTCATAAAGTTAAAGATCTCTACATTTGTCATTTTGCTCAAGTATTTAGCTTTTTTTTTAAAAAAAGACGTCAGAAAAAAACACGAAAAAAATAAAATAAATAGAACTAGTTGATCTTATTCAATTTCACTAAGTTCGAAATACAGCTGTGACACAATTATGAGCCTTCCGATCAGATCATTGTAGGTTTAACAATTTGAAGGCCAGTTTTTTTCTTGAAATGTCTGAGACTTTTGAAAAAGACACGGCATGGAATTTGAAAAGCCCAAAAATATGAAATTTTTATTCTATTTGCTCAGCACCGTTACCGGCGATTATCACTTCTTTGCTTGTTTTTTTTGTGCTTATCAAAGTACTATATTTCAGTTCAACAAAAATAATCAAAATAATAATAATAATAATCATAATAATAATCATAATAGTAATAATAATCATAATCATAATAATAATATTAATCATAATAAACATAATGATACTGAATTAAAACCGCAAGGCGGGGATAAGCTGCTCTTAGTAATTGATAACAAAGTTAATAAAATAAGCTTAAGAACCATGACTCTGGATTAATCGAGTATTTAAATGTTTGTAGCTTGTCAACCAATAACAGGTTCAAATTATTTTTAAAAATTACAGGTTCTTTAACCAAATAACCAAACATAACTCGCATATAGTTTTCATAAATATCTCACAAAAAGGGTTTTGTTCGCAAATAAGCTCAGTTTTTCAGTCTAATAGATTTATGTTTTCTAATTTTTGTTCAATTCCATTTGAACTGTTTCCTGGTCTGTGGCTAGTTGGCAAAATCGAATTTGGGTTTGGGTTGGCCTGACCCATTGAGTTTGGGTTCAAAGTTTGGTCAAAATCAAACAGGTTCACATCTCCGAACATATCTTGGTTGCTCATTTGGCCTAGAGAAGAGCTTTGCGGCTGTGAAGTGAAATCGGCTAATTGATCTAAACAAAAACTGATTTCTCTCATTATCTGTTTGGCTTTCTGAAGTTTCAAGCAAGTTTAATAAATACTTCAAGTTACCGCCGCGAAATGTTTTTTTATTAGATGTCAAAAAGAGTTTTTTTTTATTGCGATCAACAAATTCAAAAAAAGGCACGGATATACAGGTTGTTTAAAATATCAAAGAGAAAGTATTTTTTTCATTTCTTCATTATGACATACAAGAAACATTTCGGCTATTTTCTGATATGAGAAATGCTGCCTTTGCCATCAAGAAACGAAATCATTTTTTACCAAAATTGATTCTTCCTCAATGACAAAGCACTTTTTTACCGAGTAGAAACGTATCGCAGCCAGTGGTCGGGAGTCCAGCAGAGGTGTCATTCTCCATTATGTTCTTCGCATTCACTTCAGTCTCTTCTGGGTAGTCGTCTTCTAGAATGTTCTCGTGGTCTCCCTCTCCATCTCCGTCTTCAGAGAAGTCCCACTTTTTAGAACAGGTAAGAGTACTCCTCATTACATCAACCTAAAAATATGCAGACAATCAAGGAGCACAAAAGGTCTATTCTCATGAAAAAAAAAGAACACCTGCACGAAAGAACTCAGAGATACTTGATCTAAAATGACTGTGTTGTTTGCCAAAAAAGCAAAAAGAAAATCTTTTTCATCTGATTTTCTTTTAAATAGGTAACGTTTTATAAAAAATATTCATGCTTCTTTGGAGAAAAATTGCCATATTGTCTTCGAATAACAAAAACAGCACTTGAAATTTTGAAATGGCTGAGTATTGGTCAAATTTTCCCCAACTTCACCCCCCAGTTTGTAATTATATTTAAAAAAATGATTATTTGCAAACGAATTGAGTTCCTCCACTGCGCAACAATAATAGTTTCTTCCCTGCCAGGCCCCCCCTACATACACACACACACACACACACACACACACACACACACACACACACACACACAACAACAACAACAATTGTAACTCACCTCAATTGGAAATACTGCATTGGCCACCATTTGGTCTCTGCAATCGTTGTTGTACCTAGACATGGCAGCCACAAATCTCTGCAGCTGGTACACTATATCTTGAACATGCTTATTGTCTAATAATTCGATCTTCTCCAACACGTCCGCCCTCAAGCGGGCGAAGCGGGCGCGTGCCTCCTGTCTGCATCTGAGCACTAGTCTGTACTCGTAGTTTCCTGTCTCCACTCTGTAGAGGGGCTCGTTTAAGGAGGCGTAACTGTATTCTTCGTCATCTAGCTCTTTAACCTGAATATATGAACAAGTTTAAGCAAAACTTGAACGATATTGGAGATGTATCTGAGGTTTTCTGGACCAAGTTAACATTCTCCCCTAACGTTACTAATGTTAACTTGATCCGATTTTCTGAGGCTGGAAGTGCTCAAAATGTTGTCAAACATTTTCTAGGTAGACGTTGTAACTATCAGAGCTCTCTTGAGCCGCTTATAAAATCAGTTAAGCTAATATTAGTGAACGCAGACTTCCGTTTTTGAATATCATTTTGAGCATTTTAACGTAAAATGTCATTTTTTGCTCGCACACTTCTAAAAAATGGAAACTTGTAGTGTCGAAACCACCTGTAGACAAAAATTTGGGCAGTTTTGTTGAAAAAAAACATGTGGTAAAACGCTACAAATAGAGGACCTTTCCGAGGGCGAGGGTTCGGATTATCCCAAAGGAAGAGGACATTTAGTAATTTATACGTTTCTCATTTCGTTTTATACTGAGGACATAAGTTCTGAGCACAGTTTATCCGACAGCAAAAAAAATGTTTGCTCATTAAGCTTTTCTTTCGACCAGCAACTTTGTTTTCTGGAATCCTCTCAAGAGTGCCGTTGAAAATTAGCTGAAGTTTTGCAAATTTTTGTAAACTCTATTAACTGATTCTCAAAAGCTCAATCATAATCGTTACTATTTTGAGTTTGTTATGATGATTATTATGATTATAATTGTTATTATGATTATTATTTTAGTTCCGACCATTTGAAAAATGTAAAACAACTTTGTATTCGGGTGTTTTTTTTGTCCTCCACGCAAAATCAGGCACCACAAATAATTATCGTAATGGGTCGAGCGAAATATTATATTGAAGCCTTTTCAGTCTGTAACGCGATAACTCGCAACAAAAGACAACTCCAAAAAAACTCATATAAATTAGCAATTACGACAACTCGCAAAACGCGCTAAAACTCAAAAAAAAACTCGTAAGATAATCCTTAAATTACCTTAAAACTAGAACCCGTAATCATCCACTAAATATCAGTCAAATTTAAATCTAATTCAAAGCAATTATTGGGGAAAAATATGAGTTTTTTGTTCAGTGAACACCAAAAATTGAGTGTAAAACCTTGATTGCATTAATGGTATACCATCTTTTGGTTTCTGAATATGTTTCTACTCAATTGATTAATTTTATGTTGCAATTCACTACAAGTCAGCGCGGGAAACGAATCTTGATGTTTGAATATGAAAAAGTTCGATATATTGAAAAAAAAAACGGGTTAACAACCAGGAGATGCTCAAAAAAGACTTTGCAGTTTAAAACGGTCGGGGGAATGTACAAAAAAAAAGACATCCACAATTAGTTTTAAAAGTTCTCCACACTACTTGCACTACTTCTGGGGGGGAGGCAAAATGTAAATTTTCCAAAAAAACATCCTCGACCTATTTATCAAAACTCAACGAGCACCGTTTCTGAGGAGGGCACAGCAAACATGCCCAAACCTTACCTCGGTTGCGAGAAAAATAAACCAGAAACAGACTTTGGAATTGTGTCAAAGACCGTGGGGGACAAAAAATTTCCATGCAACTTCAAAACACTCTAATGGAGGGAGGGATTTCTTGGCTCATGACTCGGGGCCGGGGGATTCCGACAGGCTCCTTGAGATCATCATTGAGGCGAACTTGGATTATCTCGAGCGTTACACAACTTGGCAGACTGATGGCACATTTAAAAGTTGTCCCTCATCAATCTATCAAGTAAATACTATGCAATCTGTTATAAGTAACTGCTCCCTCCGAATGATATAATTTCTGTTGCAATGAAAAACTCAATAGCAATATCAACAAGCATTTTGTGTGTTACGTGACTTTATTCCTTTATTAAAGCCGACAGAACTTGTTATTGAACTCGAAAAAGCAGCAATTTATGCTTTCAAATCGGAGTATCCCACAGCGTCTATAAAAAAGTGCTTTTTTCCTTTTGAGCAGACCGATTGCCGAAAATTTCAAGAATTAGGACTGGCTTTTGTATTCAGAAAAGAAAAAGACTGGTCAAAAAAAGAAATCGTGTATTGCGGTGGCTCTAATTCTTGAATGCGAATTGAAGTTGGCACTAGAAGCTCTCTACGCAACCAAATTTGAGAATGATCAGCTCCAGTCATATCTCGATTATTTCGAAGAAACTTGGGTGGTGGAATATGTACGTAGAATTCTAGGAAAAGATCCAGATTTCAAAACAGCTAAATGGAAACAGTCAACAATGCGGTAAATGAAAAAAAAAACAAGAATTTGGCCGAATGATGGCATAGAGTTTTCCAACAAGAGTTTGGTCGAATGATGGCTTAGAGTTTTCCAACTAGGCATGGGTTATGCTCACCCCACTGTATCAAAGATCATTCAGCAATAAAGAAAAAGCCAAGTTTAACGGAAAAATGTCTGATTCGGTTGAAATCTGGAGAAAAGCCCTATAAAGTCCTGAATATGAGCAAGAGGGTATCAGAAACTCTTGAAAACTATCAAAACAATTATCTAATTTCGCAGCTGGAACCACTTTCATTTAACTTTGATCTGTAAAACAACTTTATGCCACAGTAATTTTGAGTTATCTTGTTTTGCCAGTAGTTAAGTAGTTTTTGTTGTAAAATTTCCCCGGTGTTTTTTAATTCATCCTTTGAACGACATTCAAAAATTTTTTTTTTAATTTTTCTGTTTTGAGAAAAACCATGCTGAAGTTTTTGATTTTTAGTCCAATTTCAAGCTAATAAAGTGAGGCTAAGCATTCTTACAAAAGCTTATTCATGCTTAATTTAAGCCGTGAAAGTTAACTTTTTTAAATAAAGATATTTTTCTGAGGTACTTGATCAAAAACTTCAAAATTCAAAAAATTTCTGCAAAAATTTTTTTGAAAAAGTGATTGAATTTTTTCGAGTTTGTCTAACGATTTAATTTTTTCGTTTTTCTAGTCATTTTTCGACAAAAACTGTTTTCCAATTGGTCTATTTTACTATGAATGTCGAACTTGCGTAAGTGTCAATTTTTTGTTCAGATCTTTTTTATCACACCACGCAGAAAAAAAAGGCCAATTTGAAAAAAAAATCATTTTTGTTGTATTTTAAGACTATGATCGAAGCATTTTGTTCTACTTGCAGAATGACTGGCTATCCTTGTGTTGATTATGACTACAATAACTATTATTGTTGCTACTATTATATTGATTATGATTATCATGATTATTATGATTATTACTAAGATTATGATGATTTGTATTATGATTCTTATGGTTATTATGATGATTACTATGATTTGTATTATAATGATTATCATTTTTATGATGATTATCAATGTTATTATGATTATCATTTTTTAATGATGATTATGATTTTTATTATTTTTATGATTGTTATGATTATTCTTTTTGTTGTATCAATATTACTATGATTACGATTATAATCATCATTATGAAATTATGACTTACCTTGAGGCAGAAGGAGAGATATTCGAACTTGACGTCAGCGTACTTCCTGATGGTGTGTTTGGTGTCTGGGATGGCCTTGTTCAGATACGTGTCAAGGTCACTCACCATTGGCTTCACTGTTCGCACCAACTTCACCCCAAACTTCTCCATGCTTCTAAAGGAAAAAAAACTTCAATTTGGAGAGAAACATAAAAAACACGTCCCAACACCCCTCCGGTACAGAGGCTTTCAATTTGAAATGAACCTTAGTTGGCTAGAAGCTACTTGAAAAAAAATTGTAACGTTTTTTTTTTCTTCTAGAACTGTAATGTTAATGAAAATGAATCTGAAACAAATAATAATTTATTTGGTAATATTAGCGAGAAACTCAAATACTTCAAACTAGCATATAGGCAGTCAGATGTTTTGAACTCAGTCGATTAAATGTGCAAATATCAATGTGGAGTGCCTACCTGTGTGCTTCTCCGTACTTGCGGAATCCCTCACTGGCACTGAACTGGGGCTCCTTGGCCCCCACCTGGGAGAACACCTCCCCCATCAGTCGGTGAGCCTGGGCCATCCTCAAATACCCCCACAACAGACCACGAGTGTTGTTCATCATTCCTGCAATGAATGGAAAACAGGTCAATTTGTATTGTTTATGAAGGAACTTTGATGATACCGCAATTACGACAATTGGCACAAATAAAAAAAAAATCAAAGGATGAAGAAACGCGAATGCAAATTCCCAGGTGTACTGCGTTGATTGCTACATCTAGTCTTGGAAATTGCTCTTCAGAAAGTTTTTATCGATAACGGGCACAAATTCATTGATAGAATTTTTTGAAACAGGAAACCAAAATATTGATTTCGGCTTTTTTCTAGTTTCCCGCCCCTCTTATAATCACAATATAAAGTCTATAAAAACTGCCTATAGGGTGATTTATTTACACGTAAAGAAAAAACGTGAAGCTTAGTTCACTCATTCACGCTGACATTTGTATTGCAGTTTGAGACAACAAAGTTCATTTTAAATATTTTTCCATACGTTAAATTTCAAAAAAAAAATTAAAAGTGAGAAAACTGGAAAACAAGAAAAATCAAATGAGGAGGGGGAGAAAACTGGGAGAGAGCCTCGATGCATTCTGAAGCATGTCCTTGGAACTCGCAGAGTCTCTTCTCTCTCTATCTCTTTCTCTCTCTCTCTCTCTCTCTCTCTCTCGCTCCCTTACCTCTGTATATGGCCGCTATCTTCTCCATCTCCTGCATCTTCTTAATGAGTCCATCATTGCATAGTATGGCCCTGCTGAGTCCCAGAGCATCTGCAGTGGATGAGCTCATGTTCTCCACCATCTTGTGCTTCATCTTCTTCAGCACTATGTCGAACGACTTACCTACACGCATGAACAAATGCATCTCAATGTTGAACTTTCCTAGATCTTAAACACTTCTAGATTTGAATTAATTTCCACAGATTTTAAATACCTTTCAAAGATTTTAAATCAAGTTGATTCAACATACGAGCTGTTCAGCTCTTCACAGAGAACCGCTGTTGTGCCCCTGGTTAGGAATAGCAAATGCACCTGTTAAGCCTATTTTCTGGGCTCGCCCTCAAGCAATGAGCCTCGAACATCCGACCTTTCGATTGAGAGGCGCGGATACATATGAACTCCACCACTGCTTCCAATTTAAGTAAATTGTTTAAATAGTTGCGAAAGTGAGAACAAGAGATTCTTGGAGAGATCAGAGCAAACGAACTTTAGTTTATACGCGGGAAGAGAATTGAATTCCTTGGTGAATTGAGGAATAGCTACACCTGCCATTAAAATTAGTTTTGAGAGACTCGGTCACATTGTAGCCCGACAAAAGTCGCGAAAATCTGGAAAATGAGTATTCAGAGATTAGATTCTCATGTTCAGATTTTCGCGACCGAATTCGGCTCGGACAGAATCGGTTCTCGGCTCGAGAAGATCATTAATCATCATTAGTTCTTGGGCCTCGACTTCAGGAAGGTCTTTAGTTTCGACTCAAGAAGATAATTAGAAACAAGTGACATACTTTTTGAATCCACTTGAGTATTTTTGGCTAGACTTGCCTTGACTGGCTTCGCAGGACAGTTTGTTGTATCCGATGGTCACTTCATTCCTCACATTCTGGATCATTCTGGCCACTTCCACTTTGGTCTTCCCTTTGACAGAAGTGGAGTTGACAGCCATCAACTCATCCCCTGCTTCCAGCACTCCACTTTTGGCCGCTGGAGTGTTGTCGAACACCTGTGGGAAACAAACCAATTGTCTCGTAATATTTGATGATTTGCTTGTCAAGTTTCGACGGATCTATTTTAGAAAAGATCACTTTTTTACAGATGACGTCTTGTCAAACAACTTTCGGGAAAAGTTTGAATTATGTCTGTACTGTCTTTTAGATAAAGATTTTTGAAAGCTGCTAGATGTTAAATACGTCTATTTATCAAATAGCTCTTTAGTTTTCGGCTGATCAAACGTTTATGAAATCTTCTCTTTCAAATTTGATCCATATTGGCGCCCAAGGCTTCTTAAGAAAGACTGAAGGGTCAGCCGGTCAGACTTCAGGGTCAGCCTTACTGGATGCCAAAAAAGTACCAAAGGGAGGCCCCTTTGGTTGCCAGGGGTTGAATCATTGAGAAGGGGACACCCCTCCCCCCAAATCCGCTTCTGATTCAATGCAGTAATTACTAAACCGCCAAAGCAGACTAGAATGAAAAACAGTCTTACCTGTACAATGTATAAACATGGACATAGTGGTGCCCCTCCCCCTATGCTGATGCCGAGGAGGTTCTGACTGTCCTTCTCAATGGAAACGGAGCCAGGCTGCAGACTCATTCCCAGTCTATCCTCCTCCGTCCAGTCAAAGTCCATTTGAGTCAGTTAAAGTTAATATTACTCACTAATATTTCACGCCTACAGAAAAATTTGCACATTTTAAAGTATTAATTTTGGGTTCTTCTATTTTAGGCACTGAATTGTATTGCTGATACATCGTTGGTCAACTTTTAAGTTTTATATCAGCTGATAACATTCGTTTACATCAAAAGAAATTAATTGCAGCTGATAGAGTAAAGAGTTGATCCTGCAACATTTTCTAACCTATGACCTTGAGACCCAAAAAAAATAAAATACGAAATAATAGAGGTTAATTTTCTTCCCTCAGAGACAAAAATAGCTACCAGTATTTTCATTAACTGCAGTAAATTTGTGCTTGAACTTTTTCTGAACATTTGTTTGATTTTCATGTTGTTTTTTGATATCATCAGGAAATAGTTTAAAGCACTTTTGCACTTCTGCTCATTTGTACATTTCAATGCGCTCATTTTCCTCAGGGGGCCAGAGACTGTCTACTTTTTTGACCGTAGAAGTTTAGAGCTACCCTTGTTTCTTTTCGGGTTTCTTTCTTTTGATAAATTTTTGCAGTGTTTTTCATTTAGAGCAAAAATTGTCGGTTGTTGTGCCAGTAGCACAGAATGTTTCGACCACAGTTATTTTTGAAAAAAACCTGTTTTTTTTTCTTCTTTTTTCAATTCGAATCATTTCTTTGCGCGTGGCTTGAAGATAAATACAAAATTTTGGATTATTTTGAAGAAAGTTTACGTTTTCAAGTTTGATTTTTTAAACATTGATACCAAAATGAAAACAAGTGTTTTTTAAACGCGTTCAAAAAATTGCTTTTTGTCATTTTTTTTCAATTTTTGTTTTTTTGCAGCTTCTTGTACAAAGGAAGCGTTAAATTGAGTTGAAACAATTAATTTTTACAGTTAAAAACTGATTATTGATTGATAACAAGTTTTTTAGGCTACTTGCTTGCTTTACTTGCTCCAGATTAAGTTAAAATATGCAGTACATAGATCACGAACAACCACAAAAACGAGCACATAAAGAATAGACGACCCCATCACACTCAACCTACAGAATGGCTAAACACAACTGACATGCCGCTCATAATCTAAACTCATAAAAGATTTAGAGTACGGTTTGACTTCGCAGAAAAGGACTTCATTGAATCAGACCAATGACCACCTCGATGTTCAAGTATACGTACAGATCCAAGTTACAAGGCATCCCCTCCAAACACGATCTTCACGCCATTCCCAAACCAGATCGAAACACAGTTCTCCACAACCAATCGAGAACAGACGATCATAGCAAACCATCTTGAAATCAGATTGTTTTCATTGGCAGGCATAGTCTTTGTCAAACGATAACTAACAACTTCCTATCGATGACTCCAACTTCCTGGAGCTTCCTTCTCCAAGAACAAAACAAGAAATGATGCTCGCCAAATAAGAACGACCAACATCAATCCTTCATTACAGATAGAAGATCTAAGATTCAAAACTCTGTAAACCCCGGATGGGTGGAACCAGATATAAACTATATTCATTATTGAATATAAATTGCATATTTTATCTCTATAAAATATTCAATTTTAGCCAATCACGATCCATCTAACTAACAACCCACTTATTTGTAAATACTATGCAATCTGTTATAAGTAGCTGCTCCCTCCGAATGGTATAATTTCTGTTGCAATGAAAAACTCAATAGCAAAATCAACAAGCATTTTGTGTGTTACGTGACTTTAACCTTTTATTAAAGCCGACAGAACTTGTTATTGACCTCGAAAAAGCAGCAATTTCTGCTTTCAAATCGGAATTTCCCACAGCGTCTATAAAAAGGTGCTTTTTTCGTTTTGAGCAGACCGATTGGCGAAAAATTCAAGAATTAGGACTGGCTTTTGAATTCAGAAAAGACAAAGACTTGTAAAAAAAAAGAAATCGTGTCTTGCGGTGGTTCTAATTCTTGCATGCGAATTGAAGTTGGTACTAGAAGCTCTCTACTTGAAGTTGTTACTTGAAGTTGTTACTAGAATGATCAGCTCCAGTCATATCTCGATTATTTCGAAGAAATTTGGGTGGTGGAATATGTACGTGGAATTCTCGGAAAAGATCCAGATTTCAAAACAGCTATATGGAAACAGTTCAACAATGCGGTAAATGAAAAAAAAAAACAAGAATTTGTCCATATGAAGGCATTGAGTTTTCCAACAAGAATATGGTCGAATGATGGCTTAGAGTTTTTCAACTAGGAATGGGTTATGCTCACCCCACTGTATCAAATTTCATTCAGCAATAAAGAAAAAAACCAAGTCAACGGAAAGTTTTCTGATTCGGTTGAAGTCTGGAGAAAAGCCCTATAAAAGTCCTAAATATGAGCAAGTGCAACAGTGGATATCAGAAACTCTTGAAAACTATCAAAACAATTATCTAATTTCGCAGCTGGAAGCACTTTCATTTAACTTTGATCTGTAAAACAACTTTTTGCCACAGTAATTTTGAGTTATCTTGTTTTGCCAGTAGTTAAGTAATTTTTTGTTGCAAAAATTCCCGGTGTTTTTTCATTCATCCTTTGAACGACATTCAACAATTTTTTTTTTACTGGTTTCGAGAAAAACCATGTTGAAGTTTTTGATTTTTGGTCCAATTTCAAGCTAATAAGGTGAGGCTAAGCATTCTTACAAAAGCTTATTCATGCTTAATTTAAGCCGTGAAAAATTAATTTGTTTAAATAAAGATATTTTTCTTAATTGATTATTTTTGAGTTAATTAATCAAAAACTTCAAAATTCAAAAAAAGTGATTGAAAAAGTGATTGAATTTTTTTTTTGAATTTGTCTAACGATTTAGTTTTTTCGTTTTTCTAGTCATGTTTCGACAAAAACTATTTTGCAATTGGTCTATTTTACTATGAATGTCGAACATGCGTAAGTGTCAACTTTTTGTTCAGATCTTTTTTATCACACCACGCAGAAATAAAAAAAAAGGCCAATTTAAAAAAAAATATATTTTTGTTGTATTGTAAGACTATGGTCGAAGCATTTTGTTCTACTTGCAGAAGAACTGGCTATCCTTGTGTTGATTATGACTACAATAACTATTATTGTTGCTACTATTATATTGATTATGATTATCATGATTATTATGATTATTACTAAGATTATGATGATTTGTATTATGATTCTTATGGTTATTATGATGATTACTATGATTTGTATTATAATGATTATCATTTTTATGATGATTATCAATTTTATTATGATTATCATTTTTTAATGATGATTATGATTTTTGTTATTTTTATGATTGTTATGATTATTCTTTTTGTTGTATCAATATTATTATGATTATGATTATAATCATCATTATGAAATTATGACTTACCTTGAGGCAGAAGGAGAGATATTCGAACTTGACGTCAGCGTACTTCCTGATGGTGTGTTTGGTGTCTGGGATGGCCTTGTTCAGATACGTGTCAAGGTCACTCACCATTGGCTTCACTGTTCGCACCAACTTCACCCCAAACTTCTCCATGCTTCTAAAGGAAAAAAAACTTCAATTTGGAGAGAAACATAAAAAACACGTCCCAACACCCCTCCGGTACAGAGGCTTTCAATTTGAAATGAACCTTAGTTGGCTAGAAGCTACTTGAAAAAAAATTGTAACGTTTTTTTTTTCTTCTAGAACTGTAATGTTAATGAAAATGAATCTGAAACAAATAATAATTTATTTGGTAATATTAGCGAGAAACTCAAATACTTCAAACTAGCATATAGGCAGTCAGATGTTTTGAACTCAGTCGATTAAATGTGCAAATATCAATGTGGAGTGCCTACCTGTGTGCTTCTCCGTACTTGCGGAATCCCTCACTGGCACTGAACTGGGGCTCCTTGGCCCCCACCTGGGAGAACACCTCCCCCATCAGTCGGTGAGCCTGGGCCATCCTCAAATACCCCCACAACAGACCACGAGTGTTGTTCATCATTCCTGCAATGAATGGAAAACAGGTCAATTTGTATTGTTTATGAAGGAACTTTGATGATACCGCAATTACGACAATTGGCACAAATAAAAAAAAAATCAAAGGATGAAGAAACGCGAATGCAAATTCCCAGGTGTACTGCGTTGATTGCTACATCTAGTCTTGGAAATTGCTCTTCAGAAAGTTTTTATCGATAACGGGCACAAATTCATTGATAGAATTTTTTGAAACAGGAAACCAAAATATTGATTTCGGCTTTTTTCTAGTTTCCCGCCCCTCTTATAATCACAATATAAAGTCTATAAAAACTGCCTATAGGGTGATTTATTTACACGTAAAGAAAAAACGTGAAGCTTAGTTCACTCATTCACGCTGACATTTGTATTGCAGTTTGAGACAACAAAGTTCATTTTAAATATTTTTCCATACGTTAAATTTCAAAAAAAAAATTAAAAGTGAGAAAACTGGAAAACAAGAAAAATCAAATGAGGAGGGGGAGAAAACTGGGAGAGAGCCTCGATGCATTCTGAAGCATGTCCTTGGAACTCGCAGAGTCTCTTCTCTCTCTATCTCTTTCTCTCTCTCTCTCTCTCTCTCTCTCTCTCTCGCTCCCTTACCTCTGTATATGGCCGCTATCTTCTCCATCTCCTGCATCTTCTTAATGAGTCCATCATTGCATAGTATGGCCCTGCTGAGTCCCAGAGCATCTGCAGTGGATGAGCTCATGTTCTCCACCATCTTGTGCTTCATCTTCTTCAGCACTATGTCGAACGACTTACCTACACGCATGAACAAATGCATCTCAATGTTGAACTTTCCTAGATCTTAAACACTTCTAGATTTGAATTAATTTCCACAGATTTTAAATACCTTTCAAAGATTTTAAATCAAGTTGATTCAACATACGAGCTGTTCAGCTCTTCACAGAGAACCGCTGTTGTGCCCCTGGTTAGGAATAGCAAATGCACCTGTTAAGCCTATTTTCTGGGCTCGCCCTCAAGCAATGAGCCTCGAACATCCGACCTTTCGATTGAGAGGCGCGGATACATATGAACTCCACCACTGCTTCCAATTTAAGTAAATTGTTTAAATAGTTGCGAAAGTGAGAACAAGAGATTCTTGGAGAGATCAGAGCAAACGAACTTTAGTTTATACGCGGGAAGAGAATTGAATTCCTTGGTGAATTGAGGAATAGCTACACCTGCCATTAAAATTAGTTTTGAGAGACTCGGTCACATTGTAGCCCGACAAAAGTCGCGAAAATCTGGAAAATGAGTATTCAGAGATTAGATTCTCATGTTCAGATTTTCGCGACCGAATTCGGCTCGGACAGAATCGGTTCTCGGCTCGAGAAGATCATTAATCATCATTAGTTCTTGGGCCTCGACTTCAGGAAGGTCTTTAGTTTCGACTCAAGAAGATAATTAGAAACAAGTGACATACTTTTTGAATCCACTTGAGTATTTTTGGCTAGACTTGCCTTGACTGGCTTCGCAGGACAGTTTGTTGTATCCGATGGTCACTTCATTCCTCACATTCTGGATCATTCTGGCCACTTCCACTTTGGTCTTCCCTTTGACAGAAGTGGAGTTGACAGCCATCAACTCATCCCCTGCTTCCAGCACTCCACTTTTGGCCGCTGGAGTGTTGTCGAACACCTGTGGGAAACAAACCAATTGTCTCGTAATATTTGATGATTTGCTTGTCAAGTTTCGACGGATCTATTTTAGAAAAGATCACTTTTTTACAGATGACGTCTTGTCAAACAACTTTCGGGAAAAGTTTGAATTATGTCTGTACTGTCTTTTAGATAAAGATTTTTGAAAGCTGCTAGATGTTAAATACGTCTATTTATCAAATAGCTCTTTAGTTTTCGGCTGATCAAACGTTTATGAAATCTTCTCTTTCAAATTTGATCCATATTGGCGCCCAAGGCTTCTTAAGAAAGACTGAAGGGTCAGCCGGTCAGACTTCAGGGTCAGCCTTACTGGATGCCAAAAAAGTACCAAAGGGAGGCCCCTTTGGTTGCCAGGGGTTGAATCATTGAGAAGGGGACACCCCTCCCCCCAAATCCGCTTCTGATTCAATGCAGTAATTACTAAACCGCCAAAGCAGACTAGAATGAAAAACAGTCTTACCTGTACAATGTATAAACATGGACATAGTGGTGCCCCTCCCCCTATGCTGATGCCGAGGAGGTTCTGACTGTCCTTCTCAATGGAAACGGAGCCAGGCTGCAGACTCATTCCCAGTCTATCCTCCTCCGTCCAGTCAAAGTCCATTTGAGTCAGTTAAAGTTAATATTACTCACTAATATTTCACGCCTACAGAAAAATTTGCACATTTTAAAGTATTAATTTTGGGTTCTTCTATTTTAGGCACTGAATTGTATTGCTGATACATCGTTGGTCAACTTTTAAGTTTTATATCAGCTGATAACATTCGTTTACATCAAAAGAAATTAATTGCAGCTGATAGAGTAAAGAGTTGATCCTGCAACATTTTCTAACCTATGACCTTGAGACCCAAAAAAAATAAAATACGAAATAATAGAGGTTAATTTTCTTCCCTCAGAGACAAAAATAGCTACCAGTATTTTCATTAACTGCAGTAAATTTGTGCTTGAACTTTTTCTGAACATTTGTTTGATTTTCATGTTGTTTTTTGATATCATCAGGAAATAGTTTAAAGCACTTTTGCACTTCTGCTCATTTGTACATTTCAATGCGCTCATTTTTCTCAGGGGGCCAGAGACTGTCTACTTTTTTGACCGTAGAAGTTTAGAGCTATCCTTGTTTCTTTTCGGGTTTCTTTCTTTTGATAAATTTTTGCAGTGTTTTTCATTTAGAGCAAAAATTGTCGGTTGTTGTGCCAGTAGCACAGAATGTTTCGACCACAGTTATTTTTGAAAAAAACCTGTTTTTTTTTCTTCTTTTTTCAATTCGAATCATTTCTTTGCGCGTGGCTTGAAGATAAATACAAAATTTTGGATTATTTTGAAGAAAGTTTACGTTTTCAAGTTTGATTTTTTAAACATTGATACCAAAATGAAAACAAGTGTTTTTTAAACGCGTTCAAAAAATTGCTTTTTGTCATTTTTTTTCAATTTTTGTTTTTTTGCAGCTTCTTGTACAAAGGAAGCGTTAAATTGAGTTGAAACAATTAATTTTTACAGTTAAAAACTGATTATTGATTGATAACAAGTTTTTTAGGCTACTTGCTTGCTTTACTTGCTCCAGATTAAGTTAAAATATGCAGTACATAGATCACGAACAACCACAAAAACGAGCACATAAAGAATAGACGACCCCATCACACTCAACCTACAGAATGGCTAAACACAACTGACATGCCGCTCATAATCTAAACTCATAAAAGATTTAGAGTACGGTTTGACTTCGCAGAAAAGGACTTCATTGAATCAGACCAATGACCACCTCGATGTTCAAGTATACGTACAGATCCAAGTTACAAGGCATCCCCTCCAAACACGATCTTCACGCCATTCCCAAACCAGATCGAAACACAGTTCTCCACAACCAATCGAGAACAGACGATCATAGCAAACCATCTTGAAATCAGATTGTTTTCATTGGCAGGCATAGTCTTTGTCAAACGATAACTAACAACTTCCTATCGATGACTCCAACTTCCTGGAGCTTCCTTCTCCAAGAACAAAACAAGAAATGATGCTCGCCAAATAAGAACGACCAACATCAATCCTTCATTACAGATAGAAGATCTAAGATTCAAAACTCTGTAAACCCCGGATGGGTGGAACCAGATATAAACTATATTCATTATTGAATATAAATTGCATATTTTATCTCTATAAAATATTCAATTTTAGCCAATCACGATCCATCTAACTAACAACCCACTTATTTGTAAGTGCTGAAATTACTTGTAATTTCAGCACCAGAGAGATTTGAATTTAACTTAGAAATTAGTTACCTCTCCAAGAGACCTTCTAGCAATCGCAATAAGCCAGTATACTCTAGATCTATTGAGCCTAGCAGAGACTAGTTAAACACCCTGAGACTAGTAGATATAAGAGTAAGATTAGGATTGGTATTAGACTAAGAAGTTGCACGAATCTATCCGGCCGAAAATAAGATAGCGTGACGAGCAGACGGTGTACCCTATCCGAAATTACTCTATGAGTTCCACCTCGAACTTAACTCACTATCACGAGACTCAACATCTAGCTGTCTTATTATTACTTACTGAAATTATGCGATTTATATCACCAGAAAACTTCAATATAATTAATATACTATATTATATTAATTGTTATCAAAAAATAACAATATTGATTGGAGAGTTTTTTTGGAATGTTTTCTTTAGAAATCATTAAAATGGTCAAAATACGGATTGATGATAAAATTGACCTACGAAGTTTGTCGTTAAAATCGTGAACATTACAATTTAGTCATGATAACGGGTAAAAATTATTTTTAGCAAAAACTATCAGCTCTCTTTTTCTGATCTTGTAGTAGATAAGACAAGATTATGTTTCGGCTAGGCCAATAAATTTCCCAAATTTTTTGCCAGTTTTCCCCAAAGTTTTGAAAGCTTTTTTCTAATAACCCTAATTTTTTTTCTTCAATTCTACATTTTTGCATTTTAATTTGTGTTTCTGAAAAACCACTGCCAAGTTAGTTATTCATTTCATTAAAAAAATTGCATTTTGTTTTTCAATTGAACAAAAAAAACTGGTTGCTTTGCAACTACCACAATAAGTTTTGATCACAATTTTTCCTCGTAAAGCTTAAAAAGAGCCAAGAATGGCCGATTACTGTGCAAGTAGCACAGAATGCTCCAACCATTTCTTTAAAAATACAATTTTTTTTCAACAAGGTGTAGTTGTTTTTGCCAGGTGTGATAAAAAGAGCTGAACAAAAATTAAAATTTAAACACATTCGACATTCAAAGTAAAATGAAGAATCGGAAAACAGTTTTTGTTGCGAAGTTTTCAAAAATTTTTAACATTTTTTTAGACAATTTTTGTTTTTTTAAAGATTTCGATTTCAAATATGATGCAAAAAAAAACTCCAAAAATCATTTTTTTTGTAAAAAAAACAATTTTCACAGCTTAAATTAAACATAAATAAGCTATTGTGAGCCTGATCGCTCACCTTTTTTTGCTTAAAATTAGACCAAAAATCAAAAACTTCAAACTGATTTTTCTCGACACTGAGATAGTTATTTCAAAACTTAAAAAATCGTTGGAATTACGACTGAGAAGGCTTTGATATGATACATCACTTGACTTATTCTAATGATTATTTGCAATGCATGATTTTGCGTTTGAAAAAACAATAGAAAAAAATAAAACACACGAACACAAAATTCCTCCCCATTTTATAATGGTCGGAACAATTATCAAAAAAAATCAAATCTTGTTCACTGTTTTAAATTTTTTTTCGCTCTCGGGGTAAGCGCCATTAGAACTTTAAGACAATTAATAAGCACCTTAATCAGCGTATGAAGCAAACTTTGTCCTGATCTCGTTTGACGATTAAGGTAAGGGGTAAAGATTTGCTCTTTTTTACAGTGCTCTCAGTCTCCGACTTCAAATACTATGAAAAATAAATATATTTTGATGATAAAAAGCCCTTCCTTGTTCTGTATCTTTTGAAACAATTTGATGATTTTCATGTGAAATTTTCCTTTTCAACTTACTATTTCCCGACTATTCTGTGAGATTAAAAAATAGTTATAGAAATACAAACCGCAGTAATAACGTTTCAAACAGATGTTCGGATGTAAAAAATAACAATTTAAGTGTGATTATTATATCAATCTGGTTAGGTTAATATGCATCTATGAAAGTTGTTTCAACTGCGAAAAATATTATGGTAAGTGAAAAGATAGTGTTTGCTTGAAAGTGAGCTCAAAAGGGGGAACATATTGGAAATTCATGCGTTCTTTTTCCCTTATATCTATGCTCATTGTAACATTTAACAGTATGATGCATAACTATATAGCCATATGTTGCCTGAAAAAAATCTTGCATTATAAGTTTTTTTTTCAATTGATTTTCTTGCTAAAAGGCTTTGATTCGTGATTTGCTCTTTTTCAATTGTTCTGAACTCAACCGGTTTTTTTTCTGAGATCATTGATTGTGCCAATTTGAACAAGAAACGTACTGATTAAAAAGGCTATGCTCATCTGCTATATGAACGAAGCCGGGGCAGTCTGCATCTTCATGCAATCGGTTCGAAGAAAAATACTGAGAATAAAAAAATTATGTGACGCCTAGATATAATGCTTGTGTACAACCACAGTCTGATAAAAATGCAAACACGACAAAACTGTCGATTGATGTGCACCTAGCATCAAAGGTTTTGACCAGATTTATTATTGCAAAAAAAAACTCCAAGAAACAACTTTTTTTCAAAATATTTTTTCCAATTGTCTTAGAAAAATCAGAAACAAACTAAACGCAAACGCATAAATTTGAAAAATTTCAAAAAAATGCGAGTTTTTTGTTCATTTTTTTCAGATGTATTTTCTGGATCTTTTAGAGCGGGAAAAATGATAAATGAAGTTTTAATTACTAATTTTTTGCAGCCTGCTCAAAAAATGTCGGCTCTTCAACCCCAAAGGTGTTTCTGGTCAAAAATTGGGCGTTTAAAACATCAATTAAAAGAAGAACTAGTATAACAGTGAACAGTTATGAAGGGTGTTTTAGGGTGATAAGATGATATGTGCACTAAGTTTATGAGTCACGCATAAACAAGGGAATTGAATAACATCAACAGAACTGAAATATCTGCCAATGTTTTGAAATTTTAAGACTGCTTCGACAAACGTTTCCAAAAATAAGTTGAGACGTTCTTATTGTCATAAAACTGAGTTACAAAGTTCAGATCCTCTGCGAGCTTCAACTGACATTAGCTTCGAAGAATCTGGCGTTGAGTTGTTCACAATCGTGGGCGTTACATCTTTACTTTTCAAACTACTTTTTGACGTCGGGTTGAACTCTTGATAATCTCGTGACCTGTTACAATCCGAAAGACCCGCTATAGAGAGACTGTGATCCCGACATTTTTCGGTGAGGTCCCGATTGCTTCCTCGGGATCCTTGTGAGTTCTTCCCGGAACCCCCTGATTCCGAAGACCCGTCGTTGTTGTCCTCATTTGTCCCGATTCCCAGTTCTTTGTTCACTGGTCCAAAGAAACTCAGTAGTACTGGAAGCACACAAACTCCATAGAAAAAACTGAAGGTGAAAAGGAAAAGAGCGGTGACGAAAAGAGTTCGCATCCCGTAGGAGCTGGAAAAAGCGAGCATCACTATTCCAAGGATGGAAGAAACGGCCGCGTTGATGAGGGGAACGCCCATTGCTTCTAGAGAGGCTTCGGCTCTGGCCTTGGCGGTGAGTCCCTTTGATCGTTTGTAGGAATGGCCACTGTGTGAGGCATAGTCCACACACAGACCTGAATGACAAGAAAAAAATTATACCAATCGATTCAAATTTGTAAAATTTACAAGATACCTTTTCCTAATTGGCGTTGAACTAATGTTTTTTTTGGAATATTAAGAATATTAAGGTAGATAATACAAAAATAGTTTACGAAATGCCGAGGAGTTATTTGCTTTGAATGTTTGTATCTTGTTAACTATTCCCCCCTAGTGCAATAGGGGGGGATAGTTTGCAAGCTACAAAATTCGTGTACGCTTAACTGTTAAATTCTTTTTTATAGGGAGGGGATTCGTTACAAGGTACCATAGGGGAGAAATAGTTAACAAGATCCGAATTTTTATACTTTGATTTTTCCAAGATCCGAATGTTTTAGAAAACAAGAAATCAGTTAATTATGCTTGTTTTGGATGAAGAAAAACTGAAAACTAACAAAAATTAGCTCAAAGCATGCTAAAATTTCAAGATTCAAAAAGGAAACCCATAATTAAGTGAAAACTTGCCCAGCTATTCATATTCATCTAATAATGTTGGAACCAGTTCTAAACTAGTATTTATATACCAATTATATTAATGATGGAATACCACTATAAAATATTTATAACTAGCCAATCATATTCCATCTCTAACATTTACACTTATTTTTAAGTGCTGAAACTACTTTTAGTTTCAGCACCAGAACGATTTAGATAAAATTTTGAATATAGTTGTTCTCCTTCTGGATAAACTCCAAGAACTAACTCGCATAAACCAGCATACACTAGATCTATTGAGACTAGGAGATATAAGAGTAAGATTAAGATCGGTATTAGACTAAGAAGTTGCACGAACCTATCCGGCCGAAAATAAGATAGCGTGACGAGCAGACGGTGTACCTTATCTGAAATTACTCTATGAGTATAACCAATAGGTCATAACTTAATGTAATTAATGATCTCACCTATGAGAAGCAGGACTTCGATGTAAGTGGACATGTTATACGTGATGCCCCACACTCCCATGTATCCGAGTACAGACACCATGCTACATGCAGTGACCACGAAAGATAGAAATATGACTCGGAAGTCGCCGAGGAGGAGGGACATGACGAGGAGACAGCAGGCGAGGCCGATGGCTATGGACCTCCAGATACTCTGCTTCATTGTAATATTTCGCTCCCATCTTCAATCGGTGAGGCAGGGCTGGCAAAAATTGAATAAACTATCCATTATTTGAAGAAATCACTGAATGGTTTTGAAATTCTACAGAAATATCTCAATTGAAATTTAAAACCTGAAAAAAAGAGAAAAAACTCAAGCTATTTGAAATTTAATAACGTGAAAAAAAAGAAAAAAGAAAATGAGTTTTTTTGTTCTCGTTTTTTGTATTTGGTTGCCTTCATGAAAAAAAAATTATATCTTATGATAATTATATGTATTGTATCGTAACTCTTGATTAAATTTTGGTGTGATTCTTTTTTGTCTTTCGGAAAAAAAATCAGAAATGGAAGATAAGCTATAGTTTTTTAGATGCGTTTTCTTTAAGACATCCTTTTTTTAAAGCCAGTCCTGCCTCGACAAGTGAATGCTAGTTGCGTATAGTTTATACGGCGAGCTGTCAATAACTGGATAAATGGCCTCGAAAAAGTTCTTTATAGTCGTCGAATCATACAGGGATATCTCGATTGTCAGGAGAAAAAAGCGACTTTTCTCAATCTCTCCTTTGCTGTTCAAAATGATGTCATTTTTGAACATACTTCTTTTTATTCCACTCGTAATTTCAGCTTGATACTCTGCTATTGTTTTAGCTTCGAATGCAATTTCTTTGCCCTGTTTTGCTCGGACGAGGTTCGAAATATTCAGACCTTCTTCATAACACCACGAAAGGTCTGTTACATTCAAGAAGAAACCAGTTTCAATCAAGTTGTCTGTAACTCCTCGGAGATTAGTCATAACTTTCGGATCCGAGTAATTTAGCTTCTCGTCAATTACGAATGCAACTACAGTCGGCTTTCGGTACAACCGCTCCTCAGTGTGATAGTACTCGATAACTTTCGAGTTGTCGGGCTGGTATTCAACTTCGTTAATATACTCGGGCATTTGAATCGTACTTCGGGTCGCGATTGCGAGCAAGACTCCGACTCCTATGAGAATAATAACCCGAGACACATCGTGTAAGATTATCTTCGGCATGTACTTTATCAAATATTTCTCTGCTAAATTCAATGCCCATGATTCGTCAATCTCTTTAGCGAGTTGATCGCTGTTTCGACGAGAAATGATTGAAGGTGTTTTTGAGACGTTGCGGGATATGGGTCCAACTCCAAGCTTACTAGTCGCAATTTCGTCAGCTATCTCTGGTGATACAGAGTGCGAAGTGGCTCCTACGACTGTTGTGCCGTGAAGCGTGCAGTCAGAATGACCTGAGCCGGCAATAATGTTGAAAATGGCGCTGGATTTGTTCGGCTGAGAAGTGCACTGGACTCTTTTGGTGTGAATGGAGAGACAGGCTGTGAAGAATGTGAGTTCGAAGAAGGTCAGCGAAACCACCATAGAGGCTAAAAAGATAGTTTAACTTAGTTTGAGTACCGTTTGAGTACAAGGCGAGAAGGCGTCAAAGTTTTTGTCACACTTGAATGTTACAAATTATGATACTTCTGAGAAGAAGCGCAAAAAGCTACTAACATTTTTACTCGAAAAGTTGTAAAATTAATCCTAAAATAATTGTTTCGTCATTTTCTCCAATCAATATATGGTGCAAGATAAGAGTGCTTTTAGAAGATTTGGGATCAATACCAATCGGAAAAATAAAACTCAAAGTGTACAGTTTTTGGTTTTACGGTTTTTGGTTTTTGGAAATTTTGACAGAAGAAAGACCATATTTAGCCAATCATAGTTAATGAGCTCCCGTAGCTCAGTCGGTTAGAGCGCCGTACTTATAGACAGTATGAGCAATGCGGATGTCGGCAGTTCGAGCCTGCCCGGGAGCAACATAGTTTTTAACGTTTCGCAAGAATGAAGCAACAAATTGAGCATTTTTTCTTCCGACAACCCTGGAAGATCGGTAATAAACTATTGAGTAAGATTCCTTTAATAAGAAATTTCAAGTCATTTTTGACTACCTCAAACAAATTTCGTGGGGGCTGAACTGTGATATTGTATAAAAAAAACCTCATTGCCCTCCATATCAAGAAAAAACTGGTCATAAAACTGTTGAACTTTCTTCAACTTCAAAAAAAATTATGGTTTTCATTTACTCGATAAAATTAATTCATTGAGAGAAAAAGATCACTGAGTAAACAATTTTTTCGGCTGGAAAATCTTTTTAAAAATGTTCTTTTGAAACCAGAAAAAATGTCGAGCCATTTGCGCTTTCGTAATTTGAGAATCCCATTTACCTAGCTTTCAGCAGATGATTTTGAATGGAACTCAAAAAGTGCATATACCTAAGTACATTTTAAAAAATTTTCCTAAATATACTACAGATGCATTTCATAACAACATTTTTGCATGAAATTTGTTTCATTTGCTCTAAAAAGCTACTAATTTTTGAAGACTTTTTGCGCCTACCATATGAATAGCTAAAATCAATTGTTAGAAAAAAATAAATGACAAAAAATGCCTAAGTTTTTTTCAATTTTTTAAAATTTTCTTATTTGATTTTTTTATTAGTTTGGTCGAAACTGATTAAACAATAAGCACAGCAACCAACTTTCCCTGTTCATATTAAAACACTTAGAAAAAAAAACATTTCCACGCTCTATTGGAGAATCCCATTTGCCTACCTTTGAGCAGATGATTTTGAATGGAACTCAAAAAGTGCATATACCTAAGTAAATTTTATGAGTTTTCCCTAAACATACTACAGATGCATTTCATAACACCATTTTCGCACAAAACTTTTTCCATTCGCTCTAAAAGACTACTAAACTTTGAACACTTTTTGCCCGTTCTATGTGAATAGCTAAAGTAAAGTTTTCAAAGACGCACACTTTTCAATTTCACAGATTTGAGTAAATCTGCGTTAAATCAAAAGAATAAAAAATTGCTTTAACAGTTAATTTGTATAGCCGAATATCAAATTTTACACTCGATGGGTATAAAGTTTGTATAAAGATGTTATTTATATATTTTTTATCCATTTTTTCTTTGTTTCCACGCAAAATCAAATGCCACAAAAACTTATCGAATTGTTGTATCATAAATTGTTGTATCGAATTGTTGTATCAATCAAGAGTTGTATCAAAAAACGTTTAATTATTAAGCTAAATTCGAGCGAGTAAAGCGTTCGAGTAACGTTCGTTATATGAAAATTATGAAACATAAATCGCAAAAAGAAAATTACGAAGTGTTACATTTTTAAATTTTTTGTTTTTCGTTTTTGAAACCAGTTGGTTCACTTATGATTATTTTCCAACTTCACCGTTTAGTTTTTTTCATCACAACACTCACAATAAACGACCCTAACTTCAAGAACCGCGCATTTAGGGACCTTTACTTTTTTGTTTGGATAATTTTTAGTCGTTGATTAAAACGTAAGTTGAACGTAAGTTGAATATGGTATTAAGCATGAAAATTAAGTTAAAATAGCCTCAAAAATGCCAAACAAAATTAGAAAGAAAGCAAAAAGACTCCATTTTTGTATGTTGTAATTTCAAAGACCCCATGTGTCTCTCATGTTTTTGAAAAACTACTCTGAATTAATAGATAAACATTTTACTCCAGTCGAGAAACTGAAGACTAAAAATTATTTTTCGAATTAACAATCATTCACAACTGAAAAAAAGATTTCCCTTTTGCTCTTTTATTTTTTTTCCAGTTTGCATCGATTTTTAAATTGGTGTGATGAGAAAATTATACAAACGCATAGAGCTCTAGGAATTAAGCATAATCGACAACACGTTTGCTGAACAAAGTTAATGTACGAAAAATGCGTTTTCCCAGGCTTGGCATGAAGATGAAACATTTTTATAAGCCCTCATATCAATTTTTCATAATCATGCAAATCAACGTTTCACGAGAAAAAAAAACACGCAGGTATTAGGGAAGTGCGAGGTTACTTATTTTTGATAATTGGATCTAAGAGAACTTTGCTGATTCTTATTTTCAGTTCTCCGTTTTTGAAAAATTGATTAAATTGGCAATTAAGTCTAAATGATTTCTTTTTATCTTCAAAATTTCTTATCTATAAACCTGCTCCCGGGCAGGCTCGAACTGCCGACATCCGCATTGCTCATACTGTCTATAAGTACGGCGCTCTAACCGACTGAGCTACAGGAGCTGCTATTACAGTCTGTTGGTTTTAAAGAGCTACACTTATTTTAACAGAGCCTGTTAGTTTTAAACTTTATCATGCATGATCTTTACCGAACCTAGGTTCGAGGTTTGACGGTTAAGGAAACAGTTATCAGCTTCAAGCAAAATAACGCACTAAACTCTAATAGACTTTTTTCCATTTTACCCCCATATTTAAAGAATTTCAAAATTGGCTCTTTTTTTACTTTTTTTTCACTTTTCTTAGTTAACCAACTAGAGGCCTTATCCGAATACTAATGTTTCAAGGTTAACTAAGCTATGGCTAACTTACAACAGCTCACCTTGTAATTTGCAGCGAAAGGGCAATTTGAACCCGCAATCATATGATTGCAGGGTATCAACAATACCGATGCACCACAATGCCATACTACCGCTGCACCACAACGCCTCACTACCGATGCGCCACAACACCGCTTTCAGTTTGATTTTTGAAAAAATACATTATTTCTGTCATAATGCAATAACCCTTGGCATGGTATACAAATTAGCTATTGTGAATAGAATTTTTTGTCATACCATACATCATAAATAATGCGTTTAGCCACATCAACACCTCCAACAACTATAAAAATAGAAAAAGTCAAATCTGAGGTGGAAATGGAGAAGATATTTGATTTCAAGTCAAACACAAGACAATTCCAAGATCGTTCCAACTGCTCTGTAACTTCAATCAAAAGCATTATAATTTAAGTGTTTTTTAGTGTTCAAAAAAGTCTGAAAACTACTTTTATGAAAATTGTTTTTTCTTCTTTTTATCCACCACAAACTATTTTAAGTACAAAGTGATTGAAGACTTTTTCTTCAGAAAACTACATCCAAAAGGCGAAAAATCTGCGGCATTTTCAAAGTTTTTGAAAAAATCTTGAAATCAGCTTGAAATTGAAATCTGAGAGCAGGGTATATAAATCACGAATCAAACATCAGTTTCTATAGATTGAAGTTACTATGATTATGTAATGCCGGAGCTGGATACTTGAGATTAAAACCTGAATATCGGCCAAAAATGTTGCAAAAGATGGTACTCTTTTGTCTCAATTTATGCAGACTTCATTTCAGTCAGACATTTGTAATTTTGAACCATTATAAATACATTGTTTTCAACAGCTGAAAAATCAGTCAATTGTAGCCATTAAAGAGCAAGTAGATTTTTCTTCCAACCATTAAAAATGGGTAAAAAGTTTGTATAAAGATGTTATTTAAATTTTTTTTTTCCATTTTTTCTTTTTTTTCCGCGCAAAATCAAATGCCACAAATACTTATCGAATTGAGTCAAGAATTGTATCATAAAACTTTTACTTATTAGGCTAAATTCGAGCGAGTAAAGCGTTTGAGTAAAGTTCCTTATATGAAAATTATGAAACAATAAATGCAAAAAGAAAAATATGAAGTGTTACATTTTTAAATTTTTTTGATTTTCGTTTTTGAAACCAGTTGGTTCACTTATGATTATTTTACAACTTCACCGTTTAGTTTTTTTCATCACAACACTCACAATAAACGACCCTAACTTCAAGAACCG